TATTCCAAAAAGCCAGGGAGAAGTTTTAAAATAGGTATGAAGTTCTTTTACTTTTGCCTATCAAATCAAAATAAATTTTTATTTGCATGGAAAGGGCCAATAAAGTATTAAAAAATTTTTGGGAAATTGACTACCTCATAGAAGTCAAGGGAAACCTAAGCTTTATCATATCAACATCCTTAAGAAAATTACCCAAAAATTCAGTTAAATCCTTAAAAACTTTTACTTAGTTTTTCCACATGATTTTATAAAAAATGAAGAAGTAAAATGGCGTAATTGACACCTCTAACTTGACTAGATGAAAAATACATGACTTTGGGGACTTTTGACCACTCGGGCCAACCAAAAATTAATATTAATGAAAACTTTGGATGACCATAAGAACATAAATACTTTAAAGTGTGGGAACTTTTTCAGACGTCTTTACTGTATTCCAGGGGTTACCCCCCGGTAGTCCATAAGATTACTTATTGCGGCAAACCTATCAAACGGAAAAATTTACCCCTTTTTATTCACCTTTGGGATTTCATTTTACCGGAGGTAGACAAATTATTAAAAATAAAGATCATTGAACCTTCAGTATCTTCATATTGTTCACCAGTATCATGGTTTTGAAGGAGGATAATTCATATAGATTCTATTACTTCAAGGCTTAATGCTATAACTCGGTGGATCTGAGCCTATGCCCCCTTTAAAAGTAGCGACTACAAAATTTTTTGCGCTTCCCTTTTTTTCAGAGATTGAAAATTTCACACATACAAGTAAAAGTTAGATCCTTTTTCAAGCATACACCGTTTTTTCCCACACACCCAAGGGTGATGCAGTATAGAATATGCCCCTTTGGTTTGGTAACTGCCCGTGCACCACGTGGATGATGAGAAAGGTCTTGAGTAATAGCCAAATGTTTCAGTTTATTTTTTAAACATTTTCGTAATGATATTATGGGGCAACATATCCAAACATTAACATCAGTTTTTCATAGGTTCCTCACATGGCCCTCCCGCCAAACCCAAGAAAAAGCTTCCTTGGGGGTTTAAAAAATTAGTATCTTGGGGCTGATACTTTCTAAAAACACTCTGCACCTCTCCCCCGAAGATCAAAGCTTTATTAGAATTTAAATTTTTCCCCAAAAACCCAAGAAGCCATGCGAATTTCTTGGTTTTGTAAATTTTTTGCCCCATTTATCCCAAAACCCACTATCTTTCAGGGATCTTATCTGACTTCCTTTTAAAATCTGTGAAGGAACCTCTTTAACTTTCCGAAGTCGGGAAAAGTTTAATGAGATTAAAAGTATCTTTTTCAAAGACCCTTTTCTAAGATTCCAGATAAAATAAAACTTTTTTTTGAGAACTATTTCCTCCAATACTGGCTTAGGGGCGGTGCACTACAATACCATGAGGTCTCCCTTCCCCGTATGCTTCCCAAGCCGGAAACTCCCCCCGCAGAAAAAATACCCACAATAGAAAAGGAAAGTTTAGCCCTTGTGTGGGGTTCTCCAAAATTAAATTTTTTTTGTGGAAAAGAATTATTTTTGAAACGGACCCAAAACCTTTTATATACCTAGAAACTTTTTAAGGGGAACCCAAAACGCCTTTGGGTGGACATTGGCCTCCAGGCTTTTTAAATTCCTATTGTGTATACAATGGGTTTATCCAATTATTTTTCCGATGGTTAAGTCGTGACAGTCATAGAAGATTTGTTGCCTTTCCGACTTCCACATGTTAGAACTTTTTCCCCGCCCATTTTTCTTATACTCCCTTTATATAAGTCTTGGTATGGGGGGGTGTGAGGGAAAAGTTCAATAGATGGTGTAGAGGGAATATAATAGTATCAGAGTTTCACTGCCGGCTTTTATTAAGGTAGGGGGTCAATCTCCCGTTTTTTTTCCCCCCTTTTTTCCCCCCCCCTGAAATTGAAAATTTTTTTGCCCCGGGTACTATTAAGGGAGGTAAGTCACGCTCCCGTTTTTCCCCCTTTTTTTTTTCCCCCCCCTGAAAATTTATAGTTTGTCTGCCGGCTACTAGTTTAAAGGGAGGGAAGTCACGCCCCCGTTTTTCCCGCCTTTTCTCCCCCTCCCTGAAAATGATAGTTTACTGCCCCGGGTGCTTTAAGGGAGGGTCAGTCTATCCCCTATCCCTCCCCCCCCTTTCCCCCCCCCCCGAAAGGTGACGTGTGGGCTCTGGTTAACAGTAAATCACTAGACTCACGCCCCAACTCTACTCTTTGGATGTCAGTGAGGGGACCTGGGAATCAACGAGGGGAAATGATGGGGAAGGACTAACGTCCAGAGACTTCGCCAATTTGATCTCACTACCTGTGCACCTGTATGAAATTGCAGGACGTAACTCCACAGCATTGCAGCGGTAAAGAACCTGCTTTCTTGTCATCGGGATATTATACTCACGGCAATAATCTGTGAAGATCTAGCCAGTGGTGGTCACCAACACCTGCGACCCCCCCCCCCCCATCATCAGCAACGGCTACGATTTCAACAACAGTGTCACCAACACCAGACACCCACGTTTTATATACATTTAAATTAGCGTTGAATTCAGTTATCATTTATATTTTTCATTTTTCATTTTCTTTAAAAATAGGATTAATATTTCATATTTAAGTGTTTTACATTTTATATTTTCTATATAATAAAGTGTTTATGTTTGTCTGTTATTATTTCTTTTTCTATTCATTAATTTTCCTGAGGAGGAGCCAGCCTGAGTAATACTGACTGAAGTTGTTACAGGGCTGAGTAACCCTTCACAGCCTGGTAAAGTGTATGGTAGAGTTATTATTGAAAGAATTAAGAGTAAGACAGAGAATAGGAGAGCAGATGAACAAGGAGGCTTTAGGAAAGGTAGGGAGTGTGTGGACCAGGTGTTTACAGTGAAACATATAAGTGAACAGTATTTAGATAAGGCTAAAGAGGTTTTTGTGGCATTTATGGATTTGGAAAAGGCGTATGACAGGGTGGATAGGGGGCAATGTGGCAGGTGTTGCAAGTGTATGGTGTAGGAGGTAGGTTACTGAAAGCAGTGAAGAGTTTTTACGAGGATAGTGAGGCTCAAGTTAGAGTATGTAGGAAAGAGGGAGATTATTTCCCAGTAAAAGTAGGCCTTAGACAAGGTTGTGTGATGTCACCATGGTTGTTTAATATATTTATAGATGGGGTTGTAAGAGAAGTAAATGCGAGGGTCTTGGCAAGAGGCGTGGAGTTAAAAGATAAAGAATCACACATAAAGTGGGAGTTGTCACAGTTGCTCTTTGCTGATGACACTGTACTCTTGGGAGATTCTGAAGAGAAGTTGCAGAGGTTGGTGGATGAATTTGGTAGGGTATGCAAAAGAAGAAAATTAAAAGTGAATACAGGAAAGAGTAAGGTTATGAGGATAAAAAGATTACGTGATGAAAGATTGGATGTCAGATTGGAGGGAGATAGTATGGAGGAGGTGAATGTATTCAGATATTTGGGAGTGGACGTGTCAGCGGATGGGTCTATGAAAGATGAGGTGAATCATAGAATTGATGAGGGGAAAAGGGTGAATGGTGCACTTAGGAGTCTGTGGAGACAAAGAACTTTGTCTTTGGAGGCAAAGAGGGGAATGTATGAGAGTATAGTTTTACCAACGCTCTTATATGGGTGTGAAGCATGGGTGATGAATGTTGCAGCGAGAAGGCTGGAGGCAGTGGAGATGTCATGTCTGAGGGCAATGTGTGGTGTGGTGCAGAGAATTCGTAGTTTGGAAGTTAGGAGGAGGTGCGGGATTACCAAAACTGTTGTCCAGAGGGCTGAGGAAGGGTTGTTGAGGTGGTTCGGACAAGTAGAGAGAATGGAACGAAACAGAATGACTTCTGTGGAAGGAAGGCGGGGTAGGGGTCGGCCTAGGAAAGGTTGGAGGGAGGGGGTAAAGGAGGTTTTGTGTGCGAGGGGCTTGGACTTTCAGCAGGCATGCGTGAGCGTGTTTGATAGGAGCGAATGGAGACAAATGGTTTTTAATACTTGACGTGCTGTTGGAGTGTGAGCAAAGTAACATTTACGAAGGGATTCAGGGAAACCGGCAGGCCGGACTTGAGTCCTGGAGATGGGAAGTACAGTGCCTGCACTCTGAAGGAGGGGTGTTAATGTTGCAGTTTAAAAGCTGTAGTGTAAAGCACCCTTCAGGCAAGACGGTGATGGAGTGAATGATGGTGAAAGTTTTTCTTTTTCGGGCCACCCTGCCTTGGTGGGAATCGGCCAGTGTGTTAATAAAAAATAAATAATAAAAAATTACCAAATTCTCTGGTATCATTCTGTTTCTCTAGGAATACCTTCATGAATTTCTAGTTTAGTTCCTCACTTCCTTCTCTGTTTTCTTTTCTGTCTGCTTCTTATTTCTTAATTCTTACCACCTTTATTAAATAAGTATTTCTTCTAACGTCGCTGTAAAACATTTTCGGTTTTGTTTGAACCTTTTCTACAATATCATTATCAAATTCTCACACAATTTCCATTCAGGTCCATACACAGTCCTTCCTAAATCTTCACCTTTCTTCTCTCTTACTCTCATTACCTTACTGTTGAGTCAATAAGCTCACCTCTCTACGTCCCTCTCAGCTCCTCAAAATTCCAGTGTTCCTGCTCTTTATTCCCAGTTGCTGATATCCTGCTGAGAATAATGCATCAGTTATTATCTCGGTAAATTTTGTCTCCTTGACAGGTACGATGTTTAGTATTGCCTCTGATATTGTATGTGTGTACTCACCTATTTGTATTCACCTATTTGTGGTTGCAGGGGTCGAGTCCTAGCTCCTGGCCCCGCCTCTTCACCGGTTGCTACTGGCCCCTCTCTCTCCCCGCTCCATGAGCTTTATCAAACCTCGTCTTAAAACTGTGTATGGTTCCTGCCTCCACTACGTCATTTTCTAGGCTATTCCACTGCCTTACCCAACACCTCTACCTCGACCTTTAAGTCTTACAAGTAAAACTTCCTACTATCTCTCTGACTCATTTTTATCTACGATGGCCATCACAACTTCATATCGAACACTCTCTTCAGAGTCATGCTGTCTGAGTTTCAATGTATCTGTGATATCTTTACGTAACAGTGGATGATTTAATAAAAAGTGCATCGAATACTGCACACACTTGGTACGTATCTTAATGCTGATATCATTAAATCTTCCTAGAAAAGCTGTCCACAGCTGCCTGTGATTAAGTGCAAGAGTTGACTCTCAGAAAACATTCGTGCTAGCAAGGAAACTGATCCGTAACGCTCTTCTTCATCCGAACTCTTCAATTTAAACTCCAACTGCGGTAACACAGATAATAGGACTGAAGGACAGATGTGATTCAATTCATATATGAGGTCGTACACCTTCTGAGATATGGTCAGTGTCTTTTCTTCACGCCCCAATATTAAGACATGATTGAAGAATGCTTGAATATATGGTTCAAGAGTATCAGAACACTTCACAACTAATTCTTTTGCTAGATGATAGGCATTTTTCGCTGAGATTTGGCTGGTTCCAGAACATTAGCTAATATTATGTCAAGGAGATCATTAGACACAACATCACTCTCATTGATGAGTGGACAGAGAACATCCAACATGAATGACTTCACCTTCCCGCTGTGTTCATCATTGACAATGTTGAACATTAATTTGAAGAGTTTGCAGAATATCTCTTGGCAATCTTCCAATTCAAAGCACATGTTGAAAGACTTGACATAAGCCAGGTTCTCAAGGAGGTAGAAGTAACGCTTGAAAGCTGGATCCTTGGGATCCTTCAACCCTCCAAGCTGTTTTATCAGGAACATGAAAAGTGTCTTCACTTGTGCAGGATCCTTGTACGGTGCTTCTGGGGCATAAACCCTCAAAACATCAGCGATGCAGCAGGCTATCAGCAGCTGCACATCACGACTCGGATAAGAGAGAAAGAAATCATCTGCTATGTGCATTGCCAGTGGCACATATTCCTGATAGGCACCATCATCCTGACCCATGGACTGCAATGTATGCGCCAGAGTCTTAAGCCGCCGGATAAGCTCATCTGGACCCACATCTTCCGTCACTTCCCTACAACCGGGAGGGTAGAGTATTGTCAGGTTGTCCCCACGACCCATTTTCACACCCTCTTTATGCCTCACCTCAAGTCTACAACTCCAGTGTTCCGTCCACGACTCGTCTGGCTGATGCTTCACATAGCACAAATATAATGATGCCACATAAAAAATAACGTGAAATAAGAGTAGCGAAGGTAATATGGCGCGAAAACGTGGAGGACAGCACTCCTTTCTTCCTGTGTGTGTGTGTGTGTGTGTGTGTGTGTGTGTGTGTGTGTGTGTGTGTGTGTGTTGTGTGTGTGTGTGTGTTTGTGTGTTTGTACTCACCTAGTTGTACTCACCTAGTTGTGATTGCAGGGTCGTATTCACAGCTCCTGGCCCAGTCCCTTCACTGGTCGCTACTAGGTCACTCTTCCTACTCCATGAGGCTTATCATTCATCTTCTTAAAGCTATGTATGGATCCTGCCTCCACTACATCACTTTCCAGACTATTCCACTCCCTGACATCTCTGTGACTGGAGAAATACTTCCTAACATCCCTGTGATTCATCTGAGTCTTCAACTTCCAATTGTGACCCCTTGTTGCTATCTCCCATCTCTGGAACATCCTGTCTCTGTCTACCTTGATAATTCCTCTCAGTATTTTATATGTTGTTAATATATCCCCCCCATCTCTTCTGTCTTCCAGTGTGGTCAGATTGATTTCCCTTAACCTTTTCTCGTAGGACATGCGCCTCAGCTCTGAGACTAGTCTTGCTGCAAACCTATGCACTTTCTCTAATTTCTTTACGTGCTTGGCTAGGTGTGGGTTCCAAATTGGTGCCGCATACTCCAATATGGGCCTAACGTACACGGTGTACAGGGTCCTGAACGATTCCTTATTGAGATGTCGGAATGTTATTCTTAGGTTTGCTAGGCGCCTATATGCTGGAGCAGTTATTTGGGTTAATGTGCCCCCAGGAATTTTCCGGTGTTATATTTACCCCAAGACCCTTTTTCCTTTAGCAAGTTTATAGTCTCGGCTCCTTGATCTTTACTGGGTTGCGGTTTTTCTTGCCCTTCCCCCAATCTTCATGATTTGCATTTTGGGGGGTTTGAACTCTAGGACCCAGTTTCTGGAACAGCCTGCAGCCTTCCAGATCCTTTTAGTTTTGCCTGGTCCCGCCCGATTGAATTCCTCATCAACTTCACATAATCGTAACGGGACCTTTGAGTCTATTTCTTCCGTCAGTCATTCACATATACCAAAAACAGCCCCGGGCCTAGAGTGACCCTGTGCACCCCCGCTCGTCACAGGCCCCACCTGACACCTCTCACTACATGACTCGCTGATGTCTTCTCGACGGGATTCCTGATCCATTGCAGTGCCTTCAATGTTAACCTGTTGGTCCCCCAGCATATTCCAATCTCTTTTGGGGAACTTGTCAAACCCTCTTACATCCAAGAAAAAGCAATCTACCTGCCCCTCTCTCTCTTGTCTTTTTTACCGCCCTAGAACCCAGTAGGCTTGTGACACAGGATTTTCCACAATGAAACTGTCTGGTTTCGTTATAAGCCATTTCCCTTTTTAGGTGCCCAAACACTCTTTTGATAATTTTTTTTCCTTGACTTTTCATCTAACATTCAGTGACATTATATACTGTAGTTTAATGCTTCTGTCCCGTCCTCCTTTATTAAAAATTTGGGGTTCATTTTTTGTCTTCCACCGCACTGTTTCGATAGATTGATGAAGATTTTACGGGGAACCCCGTGTCGCATGGTACTGCCCCTGCGTACTGCACTGTGTACTAAACTGTGTACTAACTGTGTACTGCACTGTGTACTGCGGGGGACTGCACTGTACTACTTGTACTGCACTGTGTACTGCGCTGTGTACTGCGCCTTACCGCACGTGCACTGCATTGTATACTGCATTGTGTACTGAGGGTATACTACACTGAAACTGCACTGTGTATGTTAAAAAAAATTTTAATAATAATAATAATAAAATAATAATAAAAATAATAAAAATAATAATAATAAGTAATTCAAATAAAATAATAATAATAAACTCTCTCCTCTCTTCCTCTCCTCTTTCTCTCTCTCTCTCCTCCTCTCTCTCTCTCTCCTTCCTCCTCTCTCTCTCCTCTCTCTCTCTTTTTTTTCTTCTCTCTCTCTCTCCCTCCTCTCTCTCTTCTCTTTTCCCTCTCTCTCTCTCTTCTTCCCCCTCTCTCTCTTTCCCCTTTCCCCTCCCTCTTCTCTCTTTCCTCTCTCCTCTCCCCTTTTTTTTACACAGGTTTTGACAAGGTTGGGTTAAAGGATCCCTACTTTATTAACAAACTATTTACGGGTTTAAGGATTCCTAATTTTATTGACAAGCAAGAGCTGTTCCCTTTCATCAACCATTTGAAAGCATTTTATTGTCTAAGAAACAAGAAAGGCGGGATGAATTTGGAGCCATCTGGGGCCGCATTTCATTGATCAATAAATTTTATTCGTTGACATCATAACTGTAGAATGTTTTTCATACTAGAGTCATCCTGGGTATATTAAACTCAATGGGTGATGTTCTGGGAAGGGTACAGCCAAGTGAGTTCTGTTTTCTGCCAGTCTTTTGGTCATAGCTTGCTTCTCGTTGTCCTCGAAGTGGTTCAAGTGTGTAACTTTTACAAATTACCCTTTTACAAAAACAGAAGGGCCCCCCACATTCTTTCCGTGTTGAAGGCTCTGCTAAATGACAATCCCTCTAGGTGGGCCGGCAAGAGATGAACGTCTTTTCCTGTTTCCCCTACTCTGTCAACAGTCGCAAAAAGAGGGGAAGGGGGGGGCAAACCCAAAAAATTGGAATATCAAGGGGTGAGCGTACTTTGCCTCATACAAATCTTGTGGGGCTTTAAACTTCCTGGGTGCCTGTTTGCAAAATTTACAACGTGCTCTTCAGGTCGTTTTTGGGGGTCAAATTTCACCAGAAGGATATCAACTTCTTTCCCCTGTGCCAACACCCTTCCATTCATACTTCTACTCAACGGCTTACCTTAAGTGCCTAGAGACCATTATCATTGTGTTTCCTCATGTGCAAATGTTATTTGTTTCGTTTTTCCCCATTTGATATAGTGTTACTTGTGATTGAGTAATTTAGAGCATTTGGCATTTCTTCTCTTGGAAAAAGCAAAGTCAGATACAGTGTCTGAAATGCTGGGACTCTGGGATGAAATGAAGGCTTTGAAGTAATATTCCATAAAAATGGTCCCAGCAATTCCCCTTGGGGAAAACACTTCCCCAGTAGGGTCTTGCTGATTCTGTTCCCTTTGAGAACTACCCTTAGAGATTACCATGAAGGAAATCCGGGGGAGAATAGTGTAAAACCCTGAAATTCCATGCTTGAAGTTTTCCCAAAGTGGCCCTGGTGCCACACTCGTCGAGAGCACCCAATGTCCATTGACTTTGGATCATCCGTGAGGGTCCCATTTGGGGAGAGGTTTAACAACAGATCAAAACAAGGGAAACCTTTTGAAGCCCTATTTACGATCACAAAGTAAAAGAGTGGGAGTCAAAAAACTCTGTCATTTGTTGAGATTATTGTCTCAAAGGGTCTTCCCGTGATTGAAGGATCACTGGTCAGTATTTCTGATTTTGCTCTGCTCTTCTTTTTTTGAACAGGGATTACATTTGCCCCTCTCTTTCTCTCTCTCTCCCCCTCTCTCTCTCTCTCTCTCTTCCCCTCTCCCCCCTCTTCTCCTCTCTCTCTCTCTCTCCTCTCCTCTCCCCCCCTCTTCTCTCTCCTCCCCTCTCTCTCTTCTCTCTCTCTCTCTCTCTCTCTCTCTCTCTCTCTCTCTTTTCCCCCTCCTCTCTCTCTCCCCCTCTCCTCTCCTCTCTCTCTCCCCTCTCTCTCTCTCTCTCTCTCTCTCTCTCTTTTCTCTCTCTCTTCTCTTCTCTCTCTACCCACTCCTCTCTCTCCTTTTCTCTCCTCTCCCTCTCTCTCTCTTCCTCTCCTCTCTCCCCCCTCTCCCCTTCTCTCCCCCTCTTCCCCCTTCTCAATTCAAGAATAACTTTAATGATGTTTTGTTTTGTTAAAATTTTTTTGAGGCCATAGTGGCCACCCCAAAATAAAGGGTTAGACGCACAAAAAAAGGTATTTTGACGCCAGAAACACGGGGTTATGACGCACAAAAACTGGGGCTGTGACCACCCCAAAACCGGGGCGTACCACAAAAACATGGTGCCGTGACGCACGTATCGGTGTTGTACGCCAGAAACACAGGTTGGACACACAAAAGCTGGAGGAGTAGTTTCAGTGTGAGGCAAACGAGAAAGAAGGAACAGAAGGAATAAACAAGGACAAAAGAAATGAAAGAGAGAGAGAGACGGGGTAGGAATTAACAGCCAGGAGAAAGGGAGAGGTGGTAAAGGAATAAAAAAAAAAAGTAAGTTTGGGGAAAAGGGAAAATTAAAGGTTTGGGGGGGAAGGAGTTTGACTGAGTACAAGAGTGGGGGTAGAGTGGAAAGGGTGGGGTGAGGGAGATCTGGGGTGAAGGAAAAGGGGGAGTGAGGGGAAAAAGGTGAATGAGGGAGGGGTGAAGGAGGGGAGAGCAGAAGTGAGGGGGGAAAGGGGAAGTGAGGGGAGGGGGAAGTGAGGGAAGGGGTGAAGTGAGGGAGAATGAAGTGAGGGGAGAGGGGAAGTAAAACACCCCAAAAATCAACAATACACCCTAACAATCAAAAATAACAACCCACAAAAAAAACTACAATAACAAAACCTCAACAATCGACAGTGATAACACCATCAACAAAAACACCATTTAAAAATCAACAGAACAAACCATCAACAGTCAACAGTAAAAACACCCAAAAACAATCAACAGTAACAACACCAACAACAACATAACATCTTAAAATAATAACACCCCAACAATCATCAGTGCAACAACAATCAAAAATAAAAACAATCAACAAACAACGTAACAACACCCAAACAACAAAACATTTAAAAATAAAAAACCATCAACAATCATCAGTACAACATCAATCAAACAAAAATAAAACCCTCAACAATCAACATAATAAAACCTCAAAAAATCATCATAACACC